TGTATTTACGTGTATGTGTATATACGTTTAATTCAAACATGACTTGAATCGAAAAGAGGCACAAATATATTGTAGGCTGTAAAGATTATAAGTATAAAATGGAAAACAACAATTACACATATTTAAGATTTTTATAAATTTTGTTGCAAAGTTAGGTATTAATTAAATTACCTGACAACTTATTCGTGAAAAAGTTAAACGAATTTTTTATCCTGCATAAGCAGAAGCTTAGACAGATTCGAAGTTATAAACACTTAGAAAAGAATGGGAGCAAATATCACGCTCTCTTTTTCTTTTTTCCTTCCCCCAAGTATTGCGTTTTGTCGTGAAATCGTCATACCATGATCGTGATTCACCTGACAAAAATAATCCGCTTACTCGGAGATTAAAACGCGGGTTTTTGAACCTGAGCAAGGGAAAGGTCTAACGCACAAGTTCAACGATCTAAACATGCGACGGTCGTTGAGTAGTTGAAGTTGAGATCGCTACACGTAGATCGCTACAACAGAATGTTAAAAGATTATTCTTTCCAATTCCACGACGTATCCACGCTTGGACTCGATTATTGGATCTCGACAATTATCCCCCACTTATTTACCCCTTTCCACCGTGGAAATAATTCATCTCTTTCCTTCTCTCTCTCTCTCTCTCTCTCGTACACCACCTAGTTCGAAGAGCTCGAACTATTCAACGGCCTTAAATCATCTCCGTTTTAACTATGCGGGAGACCCTGTTACGTGTGTGCATTTAATCTTGATAATCGTGGCTCACTTACGAAGGGTAGACACCGCGTTTTCAAGGTTTTCGCTCGGTATTAATTCAACTTCTCTCGGAGAGAAGATCGAGTGGGAGTTCATTGAACCGGGTCGTATGTATGTATGTATGTATGTACGTATGTACGTATGTATGTTGGCAACACACAACGTACGTTCGATGTTCTCCAGGATTTATTTGCCGTTCCTAGAGTAAACACCTCGCTTAATAAAATTATTGGCGAGGCGGCGAGGCAAATTTTCCTTCGATGCAAATATGATTCGCAATCACAGGGACGGACGGATGGATATAGGCAATTCCCTATGGAACGGCGCGAAAATCTTGGCTCGTGGCTTGGCTCGTAAATTTGAATCCAGTCGTGTCAGCTTGCCAAACGCGCAGAACTTGTACCACCGCCTCGAGAAGTTTTTACCAGGTGCATGCTTAAATCTCTTGGTCTGTAATGACATTTCGGGTTATTGAATTTCACACCTCGTCGATCGTGAGCGAGCGGAAAGGAAAATTTGTGGCGGTGTTTTTCTTCTTTTTCTTTTTCCTTTTTTTCTTCGACTTGCGTTCTGAAATGATCCTGCCGTGAGTAGGAATTGCCGGATGCTGTAACGTTTTCTAATTCAAAATTGATGCAACTTAATTGCGCGTCAACGAGGTAACGCGAGGTAATCGAGAACAAATCCGATTTCACCGGATCTGCTTACGCGTTTACGCACGAGATTTCGAAGAATATTCCAAACTGCAAATCTTTAATCTCGTCCTAGACGCGGCGATAGAAATTATCTGAAAAATAATTACATTCAATTTAATTATCAAACGATTGAATTGGTAATAATCTAATCTAAAAAAAACTTGATTAGTAACAAGAGAATTTTTATTAATTTATAACGAATCGTTTTATGAAAGAATATATTTATGAGAGGACAGATTTTAATTATTTACTAAAAAAATCTTTATACAGATAGCGCATGTCTTATTATTCGAAAACATTGTGAGATTAATCTTCGAATTCAATAGATTGTTAAACTATTTCTCTAAACTGTTTAACTCTGTTTAACTCTGAAATCACATAATTGAATCAAAATTAACTCGCTCTTCTCAATACATCCTACCTATTCAATTTCTATATACGTAAATAGATTATTTAAACTTAAATAAGAATATATCCCCTCCAATTATTTTCTTCTTCCATTCTTTACCTTCATTATTCATCCATTACCCACTTCGAGAAACTGAACACGTTCGAATCAACCAGATTGGTTCTCCTCGTTCATCCCAGGACACTTCCACGGATGCGATGGATCAGGAACCCAACAAAAAATCGTCTTCTTATCGGACACTTCTCGCCCGTTCTTCAATCCATCTTCACGATTTACTCGCGTTCCTCTTATTTCTTTCCCCCCCTCCCCTCCCCCCGGTTTAATCAACTTCACGAAGCGAAGTATTGGACGGGCCACCAAAAGAGCGAGGCGATCGCGAGCGAGCAAACGAGCGGATCGTCGTGTCGGCAGGTATTCGATAGCACCGCAAGGGTCGTCGACCGCAGGTGCTACACGCTCGCTCGCTCGAAGCCCGGCTTCGGCTTCGGCTTCGGCTTGTCCGTCCTCGCCACGGCCGAAACTCCAACGGCCCGCTGCCCTCTCTATCTCTCGTGGTGCTCGTAAAAAAATTTACAGTCACGTCGGCTTTTTCCCTACGCCCGTTTTTGTCCCACTATCCGTGGAACGGACAACGCCCGCCCGTAATTGGCCTAGGAATTCGCCGGCCAACCCTTGGAATTCTCTCTACGAAAGCAAGAGTAGAGAAGCTGTTCGTTAGAGTTTTTTGGAAACATAATTATTCATCTGAGAGAGAAAAGCGAGATAATTCTTTTTAATTCTCGCGTCGAGGGATGAAGGTATCTTTTGAGGTTGATACTTGATAATTTCTAATTTTTCTAGTGTGAGCTAGTCGTGAATGATAACAACTTGTATAAGAAATTCTCTTCAGGTTTCTTTTTTTAAGAAATGGAAATTTTTTTATCAGCTGTTTCTTATCGTTGTAAGATGTTCAAAATTGGCTTGAAACGAAGGGACGTTTTCAGGATTGTAATTTGAGTTTTCTTTAAAAAAATTATCAAAGTGAATGGAACAAATTAAATAACAATTAAATAACAAATTAAATAAATTTTTCAAAAAAAAGAAGGTTATTTTATCAACATATTTTAATCAACATATATAATAAATTACATATTATATTCAAAAAAAAAAGCGACTTACTTTCAGCACACTTAAATAACCAACACTTGCACAACAAGATTCAAACGGAATTTCTCCGTTTAATTTCCCTCCGTTTAAAAAGCAAATTCTCAAAACTTGTCACGTTCCTTGGAACAAAATCTAGGGCCCGTTCCACGAAGTCGGAAATCAAATGTTAGCCAATGACAAATCGACACGTTAGGCACACGGTATATACGGATATCATTAAGCCAACATCCTCCTCGACGCGAGGAGGACAGGAAGATCCGGCGGGATCCGTGATCCGCGGTGCGCCGGCCACGAAATTCACGAAATACATTGGTTTATAAAAGCCAATGCGAGCGAACAAAGGCGAATGTCCACGGGCAACGTCTAGCTATTGAAAGAGAGGCGAAAGCAGCGGGAACTTTTTTTTGAACAAGCAGCTTGGTCCCCTTGGCTCGATTCACCTCGACAAAGCTCGACCGCAGGACAATGACCCTCGGAGCCACCACGTGGCGAGTGATGTCTCTTCCCCGTCAAACCACCTTACCTGCCTGATTTAAACCAACCACCCGGCCGTGAACCTTTCAGTCTTCCTAGGGCCTCCACGCCTTTTTTACCTCCCCACGTCTTATTCCTCCTCCTAGCCCTCTCTGGTATTCCCGCGAGGGGAGGGGGATGATCGACACGCTCGACTCGCGACCGACCCGGTAGTCAACACGCATGGAATGGAATTGTTGCATTTGAGGCAGGTGCGAAGAGACTGGGTTAAGAGGGTGCCATTAACCGTCGCTCGTCTCTGTCTAATTGGATTTTAAATAGTATTAGTGTTAAATGATAACGAGAATAGAATTAAGATACGTATAATTAATTTTATTCAATATGTTCGTTTATGTTAGTTGTACAATTTAGGAATAATTTTTAATACAAATATTTTTACATTTAATACATTTTTTTTTAATAATACAAGGGATATTTTATTTTTATACAATTTTTTATTCAAGTTAGGAAGGATGGATGGAAGAAAAGTCACGTCGAAATCGATACGAGATAGTTTGTTTGTTTTCTTTTATTCAATTTTTATTCCATTTGCATTCAGATTGAGAATCAGGATATATCGTGTATATCGTTTTGGATTTTGGAAGAGTGTCACGTCAATGTAATATGGATATTTTCTTTTTGTTTAATATTTTTATTCAATTTGCATTCAGATTGAATGTATCGTTGTTTTGCGAAATAAAAATTGTTGGAATTCGAAACGATTTTTTTTTTTTTTTAACGGGGCAATATAAACACGATACGATAGAATATGAGGTAATACATCTGAAGAGAAAGGTCAGCGTTTTCTTTTAAAGAAAAGGCTATGAGAAGGAGGTGCAAATTAAGCTTTTTCAACCGCACATTGCACTTCCGTATCATGAATCAACAATAAGCTAAACGTTCCATTAACACGTGTCATCGACACGAAGCTCCGACTGTGTATTTGCATCGGCATGGTATTTAATTAGAGGATGAATGATCTATGAACGCTCACGTGCATCTTTTTTTGTCTCCAATTTTTTATTGATGTTCGTATTATTCGTATTGCTTATTTCATGTATAAGCGTTTTCAATCTTGATATCTTATTATCTTTATATTTTTATCTTTTATCATATGATGAGTACGAGATAAAATTATTGAATAGATTATCTTTTTCGTGAATTATTTAAAAGGGAACCAATATTGTTCATTTTTCTAGGAATTTTTACAAAAATTCTTGAAATCGATAGAATATATTAACAATTGATTAAATTTCAGTTTTCAAAATAAAAATGTATAATATATATTTATAGGATTGATTAATAAAAAAATACTTGAAACAAATCTTTTCTATGAGTAATAAATTATTATGAAATTATCGTTTATTATATTTGTTTTATCGAGAATAGAAATTGTATATATAATAAACAGATTCCAAAGAAAAGTGCACGTATACAATTACAATTTGGTTGATATTTGATGAATATTAAAAAATTATTAAACGTAAAGCAAGAATACATTTTATATTTTCACAATTGCCATTATTGTGGCTGTATAATTTTTAAAATTAAAAAAGTATATCGTCATCTTCAATTGTATCATTTGCAATTCAACAATTTATTTTAGAAAATATTACAAATACCTTTTCCATTCCATTCTTCCAAGCGTTCATAATTACAATTTGATCATCCATTATAATTATACCGAACTCCACCAACTAATTGATAACATCCTTACTTTATCCCCTCCAAGGTAATCCAACGCTCCATTTTCTAAACAAGATAGAATATAATTATCGAATAAATGAGAGACCACGTTGTGACGTGACATAACACGAGTTTAAACCCCGCTTCGAGAACGCTTATTTTGATTAATCACCCTGTCAGAAGCTTAGACACCCCAGAGGAAGGAATCCTCTCCGATCTCTGACCACCTAACTCCCCGGGTTGCCGCCTGTTCCCCCTATCGTTTTCTCCATCTACGTCAACAAGGTTGACGATCCTTGAGAGAAAAGATTATTAAGCGTGGCCGTGTTACGTGGACCTTCGGTAAATGGCCGCGATACGTGCAGCAAGGTGCAGTGACCGCAGATAGAAACACGTGGACTGTGCGTCGATGGCGAGGGATCGGTGTGGAAGGGAAGGAAAAGAAGGAAAGGGGTAGGGAGAGGAGTTTGGAAGGGCTGATGATTTCACGTGAAAGCAGTCATCGTATACGTGACGAAATAAACGTTGCCACTTATGAAATGCGCGCGTGACGCATTTCGTTTGATAGTTTCGTCGAAAGGAACGGTATTTCGGGGCAAGTTTCGCTGGCTAGTCGGTTTTTGCCGCGTACGTTTTGGAAATTGTACGTTTGTTATGCGTTATGCTTGTGCACGAGGAAGTATAATGTATAATAAAATTTTTCGAAGTTGGCAACAGAGGGACGGGACAAGTATCGATAACACCGTTGGTTTTGATAATAAACGACCGATGTCTTATCTCTAATATATAATTTGATTGAAATGTTTATTTTTCGACGCGTACGTAGTTCATTCTAATCTGACTGAAGGAAGAATATATGTTTATATAAACTTTAATAAACTTTTTTTTTAATTAAGAGTCTAGGTAGTTAAAACGTTTTCATGGGAATAAAATGAAAATAAACAAAGGATTTGCTGTATTTGGAAAAGGTATATGGAATGTATCAAGAAGACTGTAGTAGAATATTTTATGAATATTTAGATGAAACGTCCGTAAAATTGACGTATGAGTATTGTTACAATTTATACAGGTAGATTTATTTAAACGTAGAGCTCAACCTGAGATCGTTTAGCCCACTTTGCACATCTAAATTTACTGGTAACCTCTACAGACGTAATTATAACTTTACACATGCGTCTCTTATTTTAGAAACGTTTCAGCATGGAACAGCTGGATAATCATTTTCGATTCTTGTGTTCTTATTCTGAAAATGGCTGGAACCACTGTTCCGTTAATTGCGATTATTTTATAGCTTTGCTATTAAAAAAGCTCCAACTCTACTTAAATTAGGGCTAAAGAAATTGTCAGCTTAAAAAGAGAATTTTAAAATTATATTTTTCCAAAAGTGCTTCGACTGTTTTGAAATTTAGAAAAAGGAAGGATTAATCAAAATTAAAAGAGAAAAAAATTAACGAAAGGGGAAAAGATTAAAGGAGCATTTATGAATTTTTGGAATTCAATCAAATTTCGAAAACACAATAGCACTCAAAAATGAAAAGAGGGAAAAAAAAGCTAAGGGAACATTGTATCTTTCAATTTCAAAAACATAAAGACAATTCAAGAATAGGAAAAGAGAAAAAAAAAATATTTCATTTTCGAATTTTTAAACTTCAATTAAACCTCAAAAATTCGTTCGAAGATAAAAAAAAGAAAAAGGATTAAGAGAAGATCAAGATGCATCTTCAAATTTCTAAACTTCTTAACTTAAAAAGTTAAACTTAAACACTCTGGAAAAATAAAAAAAAAAAAGAAAAATGAAATTTCAAATAGGTAACAAAATAAGAAATTGGAAAAAAGAAAAAAGGATTAAGAAAAAAATTGTACACTTACAAATTTCGAAGAACGGGGCACGAAGCGTGCTCAGCCCGAGGGCAGAGTTTCCGTTTTCTCGTCTCCCTTCTCGCCGGTATCCTTTTTCTCCTAATCACGTGGCTTCTAGTGACGTAACAGCAAGGTCTTACGGTATCTCCTGGAACGGGCCTACATTACGTGAGTATCCCTACACGCGACCCGCACGTACGTACTTACTTGTATACCTGCGTAGAAGATCCGCTACACGTTGTTCGACTCGAACCAGCCAAGAATTCCTCTTCTCCCTCCCCTCTCTCTCTCTCTTTCTCCCGCCTTATCCCACTCCTTCCCTCCCCCTCGATCCGTGTTTCGCTTCGCGCGGCTCATTGAAGCGGTATACTAAAAACGATTAACGGTTCAAATCCCGATTCTCTCCCTCAATCTTCGATCGTTATTTCAATGCATGCCTGTGATTGTTCCTTAATTGTATGCAACGTTCTCGATACCTTGCCTCGATGCTGACTCGTCGCGTCTCATTCAAACCGGGAGAGAAGGGGGAGGAGGAAGGGGGGAGGGGGATCGTTGAACGATGACTAACCGTTTCCTCCCGTGATTGCTTCTCGTGTACGAATAAATTAGTAGCCGGGCTCGGCGTAATGAGAAAATCTTGGGCGAACAAAGGATTTGTAAAAGGATGCCTCGAAGCGTACCTCGTATGGTGTGTACTTATCGGATACAGTTTAAATTCCTTCCTTGGAACCAGGCGTTGGAAAATTCAATTCTTCGCTTTAACTGGAACGTATAACGTAGCTTATAAGTAGGTAGGAAGTTTATCTTTTCGTGAACATCAAAGTTCTCTCCTTTCGATTCGATACCCCTCTCTTTGCTAATAAATTTCCCAAATTTTTGTTCACCTTGATACCCGAAAGGTCAAACGTATCAATCGCACGATTCCTCCTTAGTTATTTTTCTCGAAAGCATCGATTCATCGTATCCTAAAAATAATATCCCATTCTATTTCTAAAAATTTTCTTCACCCAATCGCAAAATACGAGATGAAAACGTTTCCAGCAACGTTGCTCGATTGATGATTAAATCGCGACCAACGTCAACACGTTCAATCTTCACGATACTTCAGGATACTCTCTTTGATCATCTCATCTCGGATCAACGGTTTCGCGTTTCAATGCTACACAATCCAATCCAAAGATCGTGTGTGAATTAAAGTTTCCCTCGGTTCCCTCGACCTCGAGAGGAGGCACACCTCCTCGTCATCGCTCGATCATCGCCGGGGTCAACGAGGCGGCCGTTTTCCCTTGTTTCCCCGATCGGTATGCGCGGGTGCCCGATACCGACAGGTGAGCATCAACAGACGTATATACACGTATATATACGTTGTATATACGTATGTAAGATACAGTTAGGAGTACCGTTCTGAAAATGCAGCGGCTCGTGTCGGGCCCCGAGGAGAGCGAGGAGAGTGTTCGGAGAGACGGTTAGGGCCCCTCGCCTGCCGAGCGGCGCTTTAACTCAAACGGACACGGGCGGCGAGAGGCGGGGATCCAGTCGAAAGGTGTATAACGGTAGCGATAAATTCAATGGCGCGGAGAGACGATGAAACACGGAACACGAGTGTCGTTGCACGCGCGTTTACGTGCAAATAATTATAACCGGTGATGTATTGAAGGCCCCTTGGCTTGTTTCGAAATTGTCACGGAGGGGCCCCGTTCGATTCGAAATTCCTTCGATTGAGTTTCATCGAGAATGAAGATAAGTATTTGGGAACGAAATGACGAAAACAAGGATCGTTTTGTCTCGTCGTGTGATGTAACGAGCTGTTTAAATTTGTAAATGTAATTTTAGCCAAGTAAATTTAACCAAGCATGTAAAATATATAAATAATCTGTATGCTAATTAATCTTTTATTTTTAAATTATTAATTGAGTTCAAATTTAAATCAATAACATTTTGTGAAAAGATTAAGTTGAATGCATATGCAATGATTTATATGTTATTGTTTGACGAAGAAAGATAAGAAAGATCTCCGATTTTTCTTAATTTTTTTTATTTGTAACAGTGCAACTTCGGTTTCTACGAAAACCTAGGAAATAAATTGAGTTAATCTGTTATTTGTTGATTATTATTAATATATGTCGATAATTAATTGACTTTGCTTGATAATTTCATTGGAAGTTGAATTGTTTATGCACGAATTCTCATATTGGTTAAAAATTTCCGTGTTGGATTCGAAAATAGGATTTCTGTCAAAATGTCAAAAATATCGACCTAAATCGAACGAAAAAACGAGGGAGAAAAAAAGAAATCACCGAAGCCAAATATATATTATCGTATAATCAGCCTCACCTTAAAGGGACACGATTCTTCCTCTATCGACAATCCTTTCCTTCTCATCTTTTCCTTTTTTCGATCTTCATCTCATCCCCATACAACTTCCAAAATATTATTTTCCCACTCAAAGGACATAAAAGATCCGGCGAAAATTGCCCCGACCTACCATGAATGATTAAGAATTAAATAAACATATAAGATTAAGAATATAACCCTATCTGTTCGTTGGAACGGTCTATCTGACCGAGGAATACAGGCTGGTAACGGATCGAACGAATATACTAGCCAGAGCGCGCAGTGGTGGCGCGTGCGCGTATCATCCCTGAATCGCGTTGAACCAATGAAACTCAACCTCTTCCACTGGCCTCGGGGGATAGAACATTTCGATATATATTTCGGGTAATTTCCGTCCGCCGCGATGTGATCCCATAAAATCGATCGTGGAACACCGGGATGAGAAACGGGTGCGAGAGGGAAAAACGGGTGTCCAGCAAGTGACCGAGGATCGTGTCCGTTGTCCAGGGTATGTTGACGAGAGGGCACGATCATCAGCTACGAGGGAAAACTGTGCGTGGATCAGTGTTACCCGGGCGGGGTGGTGGTGGTGGTGGTGGTGGTGGTGGTGGTAGTAAACGGTGGCTCAACACTGGCCGCCATCTGCTGACGGTCGCTTTAAGCTCGAGCCACTGGTTCCCCGTGAAGTGCATAGCCGAAACGAGACGTTCGGCTCCGAAACGGCACAAGCACGAGCTTATTTTCGAAGGAATCGAGGGTGATCCCGTCCGTGACACTGTCGACGCGCGAACTTGCCGCGACGCGTGTTCCCGTACGTGTGTTGTTTCCGTGGTATCGTTGTGTGCTTCTTCCAGAATCGTATCAACGTATGAACGAGCGTTCAGGATGACGGAGACGACAATGACGTAAAGCCCACGAGGCCAAGTTGAGTGGAGAGATCCTGGTGGCGGCTCGACTCGTTTCCTCATCGTTCCAACATCATCATCCTCGCGGCCAAAATCTGTCCTGGGGCGAGATCTTCGACACGCTTCTCGTATCTTGAAAATCATGGGACTCGATCGCCAATCTTGATACCTTGGATCCGGACAAGGAATGATTGGACGATGATGGATCGAGGGAATATTATTCGAACGTACGGTTATGATTTTAACCAGTGATCAGTCGTGGAAATATTGAAGGGAAAAGCTAAGCTTGCTCGACGATTGAACTCTCGTTTCGGATTTGACACAACACAGATCTTATTTCGTGTCACCGTTTATTTTTTCTTCTCTTTTCTTTTCCCCTCTTCCCCAAAGACACCGAAATTGAAACTGAGAACGTGATATCGTTGATTCAACGTGACGATAATTCGTTTCGTGGGGCGTTGAGTGTGTCCGATGAAGGAAACCGATCGAAGGGTGGACAATCGGGACGAGGCGAAATGTGAAGGAACGGGAAACGCGGGTATCGAATTGTTTCGCTGCGTTGCACGACGTCGTGTTGAACGACGAGGCTGGTTGTTAACGGAATATCGACCGAAGACCGTAGCTACCGAATTAGTCGTGGCGAAGGTCGCGCATAAACGCGTGCAACCTCGTTCCTTGAGATTTGGATCACCCACCTCAAACAGTTCGATCTGTCTGTCCAATCTGTCCAACGATCTGTCATCAAATGTTGTATACATACAAACAATTACAAGCAAGCGGAACCCTCGCCAAATCGATCGACCAGCTATCGATAACACGGAATAACCAGTTCTGATCAATCGTGCAAAGTGTTTTTTCTATTTTTGTTTCTTTTATTTCTAAAAACTTGTGATTCAATTGTGTCTTGTATATACATGTATATATACATGTGTATATAAATATATATATATATATATATATATCCCTTTTTCCAGTGACGCATATATAATACGTTTTAAACGAGACTAAGAAGAAAAAAAGAAAAAAAAAAAAAAAGAAACTGACCTACAGACTCGTTCGTATGGGTCGATAATTAGTGTATCCAGATTAACGGGGCAGAGACATTGAAACTGAAAGTGCGAACTGGATGAAACTCCCTCGAAGAACAGTTCTCTGAACGAGACCTACTGACCTATCGACTGAGTGCCCCACCTCTCCCACCACCTCGCCGCGCATTTTTCTTTTCCATTTTCCTCTTCTGTTTCCTTTTTTTTCTTCTCTTTTTCTTTTATTTTCTTTCTCCCCTTTTTCCAACTCTTCGAACCAACTTACACCGTTTCGAAATTGCCGATACCAATTTCGAGTCGAAACAGGGAAATCGTCGTCGATCGGAGGACACCGACCGAGGTGGAGGAAGTGAAGTATTAGAAGGCAGGAGGGCGACGTGGCTGCGCGTACGAACGAGCGCGGGTGAATCGAAGAGAGTCGTTCTTTGAACGAGACCCACTGACCTATCGACTCGTCGCTCCACTCCTACCCTCCCCCTCCCTGCCCGTTTTTCTTTCCACGCCACCCTTGTTTCAGCTTTTCTACCGCCCTGCGTTTGTTGGCGTGCCGCGTCGGCCAATTCGTAATTCCATTTCGTGTCTTACCCCTGACAGGGGTAACGTTCGAGAGGGTCGATATTATATATATATATATATATACATACATAATATATATATATATACATACATACGTATATAATATAAACACACGCGTATATAAAGCGACAAACGAGTGCCTAAAAATATAATATTTTCAATTCGGTACTTCTGACTGATCGTAACTAATCGTAATTATTTAGAGAAACTCTCTCTAATTCCTTTTCATCTCTATTTTCAATTCTGTTTCCCTCTGTTTGGAAATTTTTTTACTTTCATTCGTTTTTCTTATTGTATAATAATAATAAGCTGTGTTATATATATATATATGTATTAATCTCGATTTTTTTTTCTTATTTTCTTCTAGTTTCGATTAAGCAAAATCGATTGAGGGTATCGATGATGATACAAGGTGAAGAGTGCCTAAAAATTTTATGCCTTTCTCGACTGATTATCTAATTGATTATACCGACACGCGATTATTTCGTACGTGAAATCGTTACTGCAATCCCGTTCTTCGCAAATTTTTATCTCATAACCCAATTATTTCCACTTTCCTTCCCCTCCCGTCTTATCGCGAAAGAGATCGTGAAACGGTCGAACTCTTCCTCATCGGAAAGTAACGAAGGTCGACAACGCTACCGCGATCGATACGATAAACAGTGCCTCGAGATTATTTCTCCTCTCTCGACTGATCGACGAAGAAACATATACATCGTTACCTCGTAAGCTTCCCTGATTTTTCGCCGTTTTTTCGCTTGGGCGTGTCCTATATATTTTCATCCGTTCCCTTTCGTTTTCAAAAGGGGACAAAGCAACACTCGAAAAAAGAAAAAGTGATCGAAAAAATATATATATATATATATATTCGACGATATTTCGAAGAAGAAGAAGAAAAGGAAGAAGAAAGGAA